TGCGCAGATTTGTTCCACTTTTAGCTATAACCATGAAGGTAGGCAGGACTAAAGGAAGGGTGGCCACAGGGCCATCTACCACTAGTGGCACTGTGGAAAGGACCCTCATGACTTCTTACAGCTTAATGTTATTTATTGTGGCTTTAATATATTTTGTTACTTGTAAGTTGCTTTGGAGAAATTGGTATCTTGAAAGGCATATAAATTATAAATTAAGGCTGTTATACTTCAGACACATCATGAGAAAGCAAGACTCACTGGAGAAGACCATCATGTCAGGGAAAGTCACAGGCAGAAGACAAAAGGGAAGACCAAATATGAGATGGATTGACTTTATAAAGGAAGCCACAGCCTCAAACTTGGAAGAGCAGAACAAAGCTGTCAGGGGCAGGGCATTCTGGAGGGGTTTCACCCATAGGGTCACCGTAAGTCAGAGACGACTTGATTGCACGTAACAACAACTTATCTTTCTCTCACTAATATGTATGCCACAAATACAATTTCACACATACATCTGACAGCCATCAAGGGGAGGGAGTCAAACTATGCACATGTAGGTGCAGATAAGCAACCAGAGTCCCAGGCCTTAAGCTTCTTGAGGGTTTTGTCTATTTACATATTGAAGAAAATCTTGCCCTCAGAGAAAATATATTTGAATCCAGATCTGCTATCTTGTCCTAATGTAAGACTGGCACATCTCCTTTAGCTCCTGGACCTGGTTATGTTTTAGCATATTAAGCTGTCTGGCAAGCATCAACATTTGGCCTGCAATATACTAGCTTTCTGCACATTCACAAACTAAATGGAAGACTGCATAGTTGTGCAAAGGAGAGTAATTTTAAACCTTGGATATGCATGCTCTTCAGATGCCTCTTTGTCTAATATAGTATTGAATATAAATGGACTTATAGTATCAAATATGAATTGACTTAAACTATAAATACTGTAACATACTCATTTCTGAAATAACTTTTAATAATACATGTTTAAATTATGCCACCTCTTGTCCAACTGCTCTCCTAACCCCATAAACTGAAGAGTTCTTGGCAAGTGGAATTTACATGGATTTCATCTGAAGTAGCACTCAAAAGAAATAATGGAAATCCAAGTTTCCTATCTAATTATGTTCTATCAAGAACAATTCCAACCTTGGCTCCCTTTTAAAATCAATGACAGATGGACGAGTATAGAATCCAAATAAAATTCCCAAAAGAAAACAAGGTCCAATTGGAAGCTATTTCAGTATTACATTGCTTGGATATAATAGCTAAGAAATCCCATGGATATATGATGTAAATAAAAATAGGGGCTGGTCCTATGTTTGAACAAGGGGGCAAGTATATAGCTACAGTTGACATGGCCTACTCCAGTTAGAGTAAGAAAACGGAAGTCAGGCACGTGATATGCACTCATCAGTACACCCTGTCATGCACAGACCATGATCAGTTTTTAGGAAGAACCAGTGAACATGTTGCAAGTAAGTTGGGGATAATCTTCATGTAGGAGAAAATAGAAAAGTCTGTGAAAAAACACTGAATTAGCTTGGGTTGAAGAGATTTCAACTTTATCACTGGACATGCTCACAGTGTAACTGTGGTTGATATTATGCATGATAATCAGAAAGCCATGCATCTTCATGGAACTGCAGGCTCCACTAGGACCCCTGGATTTTGTGGGCTGGGTTACTGCACACATTTCATACAGGACAAGTTAGAGCAATAGTGGGCATGCCTTGGGAATACCAGAACATCAGAATGATCACAGGAATGTGGGAAGACCTCAATGTGTGGCTGATCTTCCTGTCAGAATGTAACATTATCAAGTTGGGAAACCCATGATGGCTGAGGTATAGGTTCATTCAGTATGTCCATATTGTCTCCAGAGAGATGGATCAGATGATTAAAAGCCAGTTTTCTATGTCCAAGAAAGTGGTGAGAGGTAGTCCTAGAGCTTACTCAGCATCTTAGCTAATGTAACCCTGAGAGTTCACTAAATTCATCCTGTGTCCTTCAAGTAGAAACTTGTTAGTGTAGTCTTATATAAGAAACATTTGCATTTATCTGAACATCTAATCTGAGTAATTAGCTACTACCTGGACCACTAGGGTTGATTATATTTTATTGTGATATCGTATGCATGTTTATGAAATGGAAATTATCTCATGCTCTCATGCTTGTATGGGCTCATAATACTGCATATTCACTTAATAAAGGACAAGTTTAATTTGAATAATCAGCAAGGTAGTTTTTATGTCATGCATAAAAATATTAATAGTGTCATTAAAAGTTCTTAATTCTTCCACCCTAATGCCCCAATGCCCATCCTTGCCCCCTCTTCTACTTTCTATGTCACGCATCATAATGTCCTTGAACTTTAAAATAAAAGACACAGAAATTCTTGGATGTAGTCTTGAATTTTTATTCAAACATATAATTAAATGTCTTGTAAAATTAAAGGAGAACAGGCTGTCATACAGAGGATGGAATAAAAATAAAAAATAATTATACCCCTAAGTGGTTATCCAAAATTAAATGAACTCTATTACCTTTTGTTTTTATTATATTAGGCACAGAAGTGGTATCATAGTATTCTAAATTAAAGTATTCACCTTTTTGTTACAGTTCATATTAATAAAGATCTTTTCTCATTATAGACCTTAATAAGAAATGGGCTTCTTTTGGAGTAAGATATTAACATATCTTGTCTTGAAAGAAGACAACACCTTTGTAAGCATCTCTTTCTTTAAATGGAAGCTTTTGTAATTGTCTATGTGGCTTAAAGGCTATAGAAGTGTCCATATCTTCTCAAATGCTAGATTCAAATGACAGTTCTAAAGATAAAAGATTCCAATTGGCATTATCCTGGGTTGGTTTTTTGCTTCTCCAAACCCGTCTAACAGCAATTCTTTATACTGCCTCTTTTCCCCCATCATCAATTGCTTGCTTTTTCAAGCATAAGTAGCAGAGATAATGACAACCTGCCCCACGAATTTATCTTAGCAGCATCTTACTTTTACATTATTGAGGACAATCCATTTAAGCCTTAAATTTTAAGGGCTTACAGAAAGGCACAGTCACTCAGTGTCCTCTCTCACAGACCACTAGCCAAAGCCAGGCATCTTATGGAAATACTGTATGACCCCCTTACTTAACTTGAAATGTATCAAGAGGTGCTTAAACTTTGGTATCCAGAAATTGAAAAAATCTGTAGTAGAAATCTGTAGTAATCGAACAGTTAAATGCACCCTAATTCAGCCTTCCCTAACAAGGTGCTGTCCAGATGTTTTGAGACTTGAGATCCTATTGATCCAGCCAGTATGGCCAATGGTCAGGAATCCTGGGAGTTATAAAGCAAAACAGCTAGAGAAAGGCGACTGCAGCTTGACCAAGAAATGGTACCTACAATGGCAGTGATGGTGATGTTCTCTAGCCAGGAACAACTGGATTCTTAAAGGCTCCGAGTTCTTTTTTAATGTGTTAAAAACAGTCACATCCACAACACTTATATGGCTATAAATAATACAATTAGTATATCAATTATTAATTAGCCTGTTTTGATGCCAGATTACCCCAAGAAATCAAGCTGATTACTTGGAGGTCCATCCTCCCCATTAAGTGCTTTAAAAAGCATTATAGATAGATACCAGGTTACTACAAAATTATCTTTATTTCTCCTCAATTGGTTTGTTTCTTTTCCAGTACCACTGACCATGCTCTGATGAGCTATTTCTGAAATGAGAACCTTTGGACATTTTTCCAAGATCTAGCAATTTCAATTCTCACAGCCCCTAAAAGTATCACCACCATTTCTTTATAACATAGCCCCCCATTCTCCCCAGAAAACAATGAAAACAGTAATATAGTTTCATTAGGAGTTAACTTTTGTTGTGTTACCTTTTTAGTCATTGCATTATCTTATTTGGATATCTGAAGGAGTGTCTCCTTCCCTATGTGCCTTTCCACCCCTTAAGAGGGGCGGAGGACTTTCTTAGGAGCCCCTTCCCCAAAGGTTAAGATTAGTGCCTACTCAGAGAAGGATTTTCTCAGTGGTGGTGCCCTGGTTATGGAATGCACTCCCTAGAGAGGCTTGCCTGTTGTTGACTTTGTATTCTTTTTTGCACCAGGCTAAAACCATTTTATTTACCCATTATTTTCAAAGTTGATTAGGTTTTTTAATGTATGGTTTTATTATTGGATGCTATGCTTCATTTTTATTCTGTTTTTATTGTAAGATGATCCCAAGACAGTAGTAGTTGGACAGTATACGAACATTTTAAATAAATAAATAAATAAATAAAATTATTTCATGCAGAACCCTTTAAACTGCAGTTTTTCCAACACATCTCAGATAACTTGTTATTAATTTTATATAATTTTGTGGGGCAAAATTATGTGCTGTTTTTAATACCATTTCTTTGGACCTAACTAACTCAGAATTATTGGGTTGAGGGGACCATATTCTTGCCCGTAACTCTTCTGATATACTATTTTTTAGATTCTTTTTCCAACGTCATCCTGATTCTCACAGAGTTTTATTGTACAAAGTTGGTGTGCATAATCTCAGATTCACCTAAGTGGAAGAAGGTCAAAACCGACTCCAGCATAGGGCCAACAGAATTTAGCTCCCCACACCTCCTCTAGTGTCCATAAGCCCACTCTTTTACTTTCTCTTATGCAAGCAAATGGCTGGAAAAAGGAAAGTACTACAGTTGGATAAAATGTAAAAGTGGCAGCTGACTGGTTATTATTTATTCGTTTGATTTGATTTATACCCTACTTTTCTCCCTGTGCCCCCTGAATGGCTCTCAGTCTTTTCATCCACTTCCACAATTGGGAGAGAATGGGGAACATGGAACATGGAAACTGGCCCTTGAGTCAATTCCTTTACAGAGTTAAAATAGACTAATATGCATGCTGCGATACAGAAACATATCATGAGCCCAAAAAGCACTTTTGATTTTTTAGGCAACTACTTATAGACAAATAAATCTGTCGGCCTACCTAGTTCTGGTGAGCTTAAAGGCTGAGTTCCAGATTTTTGTTCTGCTGGGCACAGCGTGTTCATATTCAGCAACTGTGTGACTTGGGGAACATCTGAATTTAATTGACAGGCTCGAGGTAGCATATCTGTTTGCCCATCAGCTGTGAATAAGAGATTAGTACAAGGCTGAATAAAATGGGAAAGTGTTTACTTTTCTACACCAACTACCTGACCAAACAACACAAACACTTGAAACTAACAAAGATGCAATGTTGCCCAAAAGGTAATTGCCACAACCCCACAGGTTTTTTTCCCCAATATAAACTGTGAAATTCAGCATTTATATTTTAAAAGCTTCTAGCCCCTGGTTACAAAATGAAAATCTAGTGGTACTTGAAATCTTCAAGACTCAAGAACCAGAAAACAAATAAAAGGTTACACATCTGTTCAATTTCAAAAACCTTTGATTCTCAATTCAGTGGCTTTTTTTTTCTGGATAGGACTCCTTATTTCTAAAATTGGAATTAGCAGCACTAGGGTTATTACCTTATCTGGATGGAAGATCTTAGATGGTAAGTACTGTGCCAAATTTTCCCAAATCCCAGAAGGGTCCTAATGCCACAATACTCCAACTTAACCCTTCCTTGCCAATTTAAGAAACTGTCTGACAATAAATACTTTCTATAGTAGTAAGACTAATCTCAAACGATGCTCCCGCAAGCAAACGTCCAAAGCATTCGGTCATGCTTTGAAGAGGATTATGGATGGGCTGGGAGCAATGTTCCAGCCTAAAGGAAAACTAGCCCTATGTAAGCAGTGCAAAATGCTACCATAGTAGTACACGGGATATGTGCTATACCCTGACCTGTAAAAGACTATGGATTTGGCTGCTCCAGCAACCTCATGGATATTGAGAATAAAAGTTCTGCTCCTTTAGAGTAGCGGTGGGTTGGGTGGTGTTGGATAAGACAGTGGTCTCAGCCCTTCCAGCCCCATAAATCTATAACTAATCACCAACTGTTATATCTTTTCTACAAAGCATAATTGCATATGAATGATTGCAGTTAACTTACTGTTAAAATAATTTATGTATGGGGATAAGAATTAATTTGATTTCAGTGTGGAAGGGTTATGCAATTAAAATATACTTAGCAATTAGCTAGTCTCACAATTTAGATTATGAAGATTCCTCTGAAGTATCTAATCCAGCCACATTGTGCATGCGATTCAATTTCTAAGTAACCTCATGAAATTGAGAAACCACCAGTGTATATCAAACAAGTGGGCAGATTGGGGGCTTTGGCTCAGTTCTTACGTCATCCTGAGCTGCTTCTGTGTCACTAAACCATGCAAGGAATGCTCACTGCAGCTCCTTTCTATGCTAGCATCAACCCAACATCAGAGTTAAAAGAGTACAGAACCTTTGTCCTTCATTCATTTCGTCTAATATAAGAAACTAAAATTGCTTGCACTGCAGTTTGTATTGTTTTTAATACATATAGTGAAGCTTTTGTGCTGATGCTGCAAAGTTAGTGTCCTGCACATGCATGTTATTTGACAAACCCAGTTCCCAGAGCAGTGTTGATATTGGTATTGGAAAGAAAACTATTGCAAAGAACAAAACTCTGTCAGATGACACTTTTCAACATAATCAGCTGCAGCACTAGAAAAAACAAAACAAATTCCCTACTGGAGAAAGGAAGCAAGAGGCCAGGAGGTGCACTAGCTGTGGATGCCAATCATTTCATATCAGAAGGCATATCGACTTCCTGGTTTAATAAGAAATGAGAAAGTTGAAACAAAATGTGAGAATACAGTTCAGTCTCCAGAGAAATATCCAAAGAGCTTTGCAGAAAGAAATCTACTTATCCACCTGATTCCCACTTCTATGGATCACCCCAAAGGCTTAGCCTCACTGCTCTAATCTTGATTAGAATGAATAGAAAACTTCCAACTTCAGCATGAGATAATTAGCATGCATTGTTTCACAAATGAGACCAATTTCTGTTCACATGCAATCACACTTTCTTCATGCTTTCCCTTCTGCAGGTATACTTGGGAAGTGTCACAAATGGGTCAGTAGAGTAAAGAGAGGCATAGCTCTCTAGTCAAGCAGTACCCTAACATGAAGACCATAGACATATGAATGATCAACACTGCTCTTTACATTAATATTTCCCATGTGCACTCAAGGAATGAGAGACACTTTCTTAATAACTTCATTCCCAGGCAAATGTTTATGTTTGTCCAGAATTCAGCTCTGGGCTAGGCCTCAAGGGTGAACTCACACCTAAGAAGAAATGAGTTACTCCTTCAGATGAGGTGGCTATTGTTTCAGAAAGAGATAAGTGGCTGTGATGATCCATGGCAATAGAAATTGTTATTATTATCAATTCTAATTCTGTGTTGCCCAATAGCTGGGTGCTTTACTATAACAACATAAAATATAATAAAATGTAATACAAAATACAGATAACAACAAAAGCATCTCAAAAGTACAAATTTTAAATCCAAATATAAAAAGCTACAATAGCTAATATAAATGAAATCACAAAATCTGTTAAGCAGCTGGCATAATGTTCCAATATTTATTTACTCATTATCAAAACATTAATCATATTATATTACAGCTAAGTAATATGACTATCCTGTCACAGAGGACAGTCTTAATCTGGCATTAAAAAGATAGCACCGTTGACAGTAGGCAGGCCTCAGTGGGGAGTTTGTTTCATGAATTGGGGGGCTGCCACTGAAAAAGCACTACACCAACCACGTCCTCTTGGAGATGGCAGTGAGAGGAAGGCTCCAAATCTTGATCACAGTGTCAAGGTAAATTGTGGTTGGAAGAGATGGGCCATTAAGGAGTGTGGACCCAAGTTACCTAGGACTGCTTGGAAGCATGTAGGCAGCCAGTGAAAATGGGCCAGAATTGGACATCTGTGTTTGGGCCTTCTGGTCCACATTATTAATCTGGCTGCTGAAATTTGCACAAACTGCAGTTTCTGAAGAGTGTTCAAGGACAGCCCCACACAGAACATACTACAGTAATCTAGGTTAGAGATTACCTGAGCATAGATGGCTGGCAAAGTAGGGGCATAGCTGGGCCACCAGCCAAAGTAGAAGGCAGTTTATGCCACTGAGGTCACCCGGAGCTCAAGTGCCTCAGATGACCCAAAGAGCACCCCCAAGCTACAAACTTGCTCCTTCAAAGGGAGTGCAACCCCATCCATACCACATTCAACACCCTCCATCTGGTCAGAAGACCCATCTTCTAACAGCATGTATTATCTGGACTGAGTTTCCAATTGTTAGCCCTTGTGCAGTTCATTGCCACAGCCAGGCATTGATTTAGCACATCCATAGCCTCACCTGTGTGCTCACAGCCTGAAAAGGAGAAATACAGCTTTGTGTCATTAGCATACTGATGGCAGTACACACCAACACTCTGGATGACCCCACTCAGCAATTTCATGCAGATATTAAACAGCATGGGGGGACAAGACTGTCTGCTGAGTTGCACTGTATTATAGAGTCCAAGGGATCAAGCAGTATTCCTCAGCATCACCTTGTGGAGCAGGCTGTCCAAGCAGGAGTAGAAAACTGCAATGTAGTATCTCCTACTCCCAACTCAGCCAGCTGCCCCAGAAGGATGGTTGATGGTATTGCAAGCCTCCAAGAGATCCAGCTGTATCAACAGGATTATGCTCCTCCTTCCCTCTCCCAACATAGGTGTTATGAACTGGTTCCTTCCCTCTGTCCTTTTGTTTATCAAAATTAAAACAAAACCTTAGAAGTGCAGTTCCTATTGAAACACTTCCTACTGGCTGCAGAACAGCATTGTCTATTAAAGTTGTGGGAGAAGCATCTGGCCATATAAAGAGATGGATCCAAGCTGAAACTTCCCCTCTGTTCCTTCCTTTCAGTAAACTTTCTGGCTCCATTCTCAAGGTGGATCTTGCTGCTTGAGGGCTAGATGATAGGAATGCCCGAGACCCTGTAAGTGGGCAGCTGGCTTCTCCTGCCACCATTTGACTGGGTCAAGGACTTCTTGCATCTGCTTCCACTCCCACTCTGGAAATCTGCCCCTTCCAAAGCAGGTAGATTCTCCTGCCCTGTCCGAGAAACTTCATCATGTAACCCTGAAGCAGTTCACTTCTCCCACACTTGCACCTCCTCCTCAGAATCAGATGAATCTATCTCAGCAGCCTGTAATGGGTAAGAGAGAGCTCCTCTCTCTACATCATCATAAAGGGCAACCAAAGCTGTTTCTGTGCCAATACCTTGCCTGAATCCTAACTGTAATGAGAATTAGTTTCATCCAAGAGCATTTGGAGCTGGTTGACTGCCACCTACTCAAGAACCTTTCTAAAAAAGTCATTTGCCTCTGGCCTAAAATTATTAAGATTGTCTGGGCCCAGAAAGTGTTTAAGATTGGTCTCAGCACTGTCTGTTTCAGGTGGCATAGGACCACTCCATCTGTAAAGAGGCATTAATCAGACCCAGCTCACTGCTTCCTCCCTGATAGCTTTAGCCAAGAGCTGCAAGGATCCAGTACAGATGTGGATGAATAGAGCTGTTCAAGCTGCTTGTCAACTTCTTTGAGCTGTACTAACTGGAACTGGTCCAATAAAACTTGACTAGGTTCTGTTCTTAGTGCTTCACTCAGTCCAACAGTGGGGACTTAAATCTTGGCAGATGCAAAATATTTCATCCTGGAACTTCCTCGCAAATATAATACAGTGGGTCTCAGATGCCTCAAAGATTTCCATGGGCCCAGCATGTAGTAGGCCCTGGACAACCTTAGGGAGCTCTGCTAGGGAGGATAAATGAGAGGATTTACTAGAGCCAGTGAGATACTGTTTCTTTGCTCCTCTCACTGCCCTCAAATATAGGTGACTATAAGCACATACCAGGGCTTGATTGCTGATGCCCTCCATGTACCTGTCTGCAGTATGGAATTGGTCCTTTTCAGAGTGTGCAAGCCCTGTACACAGGAATAAGCAGACAAATCTGTAGCGAGGGAAGAGCAAGAATATGGGTGGATATGCTTGAATGCTGGTATGGGGGCATAACAGCACAGGAGAGTGCTCCACTAATGCTACTCTACAGAAACATTGCCACCCTGGTGAGTGGTTGCTTCTTCTGATCACAAAGTAAAACA